TGGGGGCAGCGAGTCTCCTAGAGGTCTGGATGAATCAGATGGCCGTGTGCTAAATGTTCGTTTTGCCGGTGACCGTGGATCCGCCCTCAGCATGGTCATGTGCTGGATATTCTAGCTCTGTGCTCCGCCACCCAAGTCACATAACTCACTGTGTTGCTCTCCCTCTTCCCCAGATTCAAAGTTGGACTCTGACTGCACGTGGCACAGCTGCATGAGGTTTAGGAGAAGAGGGGATTATGCAGGCGCACAGTACCTCTGCTCCCCAGACAAGGGGGCATTCCTGCCTTCACCTCTGGAGCCTATGGGGGTTCCAGAAAGGGCGTACATTTTTGCATCTCTCCAGTGCTCAGCCAAGGGCCTTGCATATCAAACGTACTCAGTATCTCTCTGAACTGAGGGGGAAACCACAAATAAATATGGGTAGAGGCCATAGTTTTGTGCTGAGACAGATCATTTGGGGCTTAGTTAAGGTTTTTGGAAGCCAAGGCTGTTCTGTAGGGCACTGAATGCTGGGATGGATGGTCTAGGTCCTCATCAAAGTTTTGCCACCATGCAGTTATAAGTGACTTTGGGCAAGTCACTTTCTCTCTTTGTTAATGAGAAGGTTGGATGAGTTGACCCACTAAAGGTCTGTGATTCTAAGCTTCCCAGGTTGCCTCTCTCCAGCTGGTGAAGAAAGCAGATGTTAAAAAGGAAAAGATCTCTGGGTTTTCTCACTCAAGCAGAGTTAGCTCCTGGTTAAGTTTCCAGAGGGTCTTCTGGTGCCTGGTCAGATGGTCTGTGCCCCCCAGGGCCCCAGGGGGGTGAATTCATACGAAGAAGATCCAGTCGACATCCCCATACCCACCACTGCCTCTCTGTGTGGAAGCGTCTTTGGCATCTAATTGTTTTAGGGGATTGTATTTGTTTTCTGTGGCTGATATAACAGATTACACAAATTTAGTGGCTTACTACAACACAACTTCATTACTTTAACTTCTGGAAGTCAGAAGTCCCAAATCAGTCTCACTGGGCTAAAGTCTACGTGTCAGCAGAGCTGATTCTTCTGAAGATTCTAGGGCAGAATCTATTTCCTTGCCTGTTCCCGCTTTTAGAGACTGCCTGCGTTCCTTTTCCTTCATCTTCAGAGCCAGCAGTAAACCATCTTCTTTACTCTCTCCTCTTCCTCCCTCCTTACATCTCATTTCTCTGACTCTGATTCTTCTACCTTCCTCAGATAAAGACTCTTGTGATCACATTGGGCCCACCCAGATAATTCAGGATAATCTCTCCATCTCAAAATCCTTAACTTAATCACATCTGTAAAGTCCCCTCTACCATGTAAGTTAACATATTTACAGGTTTGGGGAACTAAAATGTGGACTTCGTTGGACAGGCCATTATTCTTCCTTCTGCAGGGATTATCTACTCACCATTAAAACCCAGACTTGGACAGGGAGAAGAGTATGTTGGGGTGCCTGCTTTGGAATGGAGGAAGATAGGCGGTCCCCTAGGCGAGTAACTCTATACTTGCTTGCAAGTTTAGCTGTGCACAACAGCAGAATCATCTGCTTTTTGGGTGTATTTAGATTCTCCTTTATGAACTGCTTGAGAACTTTTATCCACAGAAATATATACTCACCAAGGAGTTGTCCACTTCTCCTCAAAGCCACATGCCTCAATGAGCCACACACATCATCTTCCTTCTTCATTCTGTTAATGGCAGTTACTAAGTGCCCACAGTGTGCTGGGCAAAAAATCTCCAAGACATCCTCCCGCCTTTCGTGGAGTTTCTGTCTAAGTGGAGGAAAAAGGCACATAAGCATGTATTTTTAATACCAGGCGGGATGTGCTAAGTGATATAATGGTGGTAAACCAAGGAGGACAGCATCATTTCTAGCCCCCAGGGATGTTAGATCATGTACCCCAGTTTTTGGCTCAGAAATATGATCATTGCATACACACATTTATTAACTCTTACAGGCTAAGAATTTTAGGACTTTTTTTTTTTTTTAATATAGGATGCTATGTCTTTTTCTCCTTATCTAAAGGTCTTTGGTTCAAAAGAGGTGTCCAGCTCTGATGATGCATGTGAAATCACTTGTATTCAAGGTTGATTGAAGTTGGGACAATAAGAATTTGCTAGGCACAGCAGAAGTTAGAAAAAAAAATCTGGTTAGTCATCTTCTTTCATACTGAATCTGAGTAGGTGAAGTCCTGTAACCTGGACTGTACTCTGAAGAGCACTGATTTCCCATGGCTGACTTACGACCACCCAGAATGGTTGGCTTTCCTAGTTAGAAAGTTCACTGTTCCTGATGTGTCACTTCAGAGGCAAGACAATCTCCAGCAAGAGCTCCCTTTAGCCCAGAACACAATTTTAGAAAATACAGCTGACTTCTCAGGGAGAAACAAACCAACCTTGTCTTACTCTGGTCATGGAAACCAAGTTGGCACCTCATTATCGCCTTGACAGGCCATGTTGTGGACAAACCTGGTAGGAAGGGTTGGCCCGTGTGGGCAGGGTTTTGAGTTAAGCTTAACTGCTCTTCTAAAGCTCAGCTACTTAATACTACACAAGTCGAAATCTATCATCAGACTCTTGACCACCCTCCTCTTTTCATATTCTCGCCTACATAGACAATGAGTGCCTCCCCAACTTTGCTGCTGTTGTGATTTGTGCCTGGGCCACACTGGGGCCACCAAGGCTTGGCTGCAACCAGCACAACTCCCCAGAGCAGAAAGGGTCTATAATTACCTTGACCACCCCCACCTCCCAATGCCCACTCCCAGTATCTTAAAATGCAGCCAGCCCTTACTGCCCTTGAAGCACAGCAGGGCTGCTGGTGGATGGAAGTGGTATCTTTTTAACAATTTAGAGCAAATTCCTGATTTTTCACGCAAACGGGAAAGAGTAACCCAAAGTCATTTCTGTCTGGCTCTGAAATGTGTTTTGTACTTGTATTTGAATGTGGGTGTGCCTGACATTCTGGGAACTCACTTCAAACAAAACAGTGAAGCTGCCCATGAGGAAGGGGCTTAAGGAGGGCTGAGAAGCTACATATTTTAACTGCCTTGTGCCCGTTCTCTTCTTTTCAAAGTATGGTTTGGGTCCCAAGTGTGTATTCACCAACAGTGAGTGTTTGTAAATAGATCACCTAATCTGGCTGAGTTTAGGTTCTTGCCCTGCAAAACTGGGGTGAAAATTATCTACTCCCATAGGACTAATGGAGAGATCAAATGAGATAACATAGTTTAAGCATTGGACACACAGTAGCATTGCAATAAATGTGAGCAATCTCTCTCAGTCACCTTCCTCCCCACCACCTCGCCATCTCCTCCTGACTCCCACTGCTCTCTTAGACCAATGCAAAGGGCCAGCCTAAGCAGAAGCTCTGGTTCCTCAAAGCTCCTCTGAAGTGGGAGAGGTGTGACATGCCACACACTTTTCCCTTTTCCTTTCTCTTCCTCCCCTCTCCACCCCAGCGTCTTCCCTCTGTGTTTCACTGTTGTTGGGCTGTCACTGTGGAGTCTGGGACAGTGGAGAACTTGTCTAAAGTGCCCCAGCTTTGCAGTTTCCCCCACTCTTCCATAGACAGACATGTTGACTGTATCAATTTCAAGTGCTCAGTCCCATTCTTCCCATTGAAATGTCCTAGGAATTCCAGTTCATCAACATCCAAAACACGTTTCCTAATTACACCCACTCCCTAGAAGGGAGTGTAAGACCCAGAAAATATGGTCTTCCAAAAAAGCCCTGACTGTGGTAACCATGCATCCTAGACTTTCTGGGAAAGCTGTCCCCATTCCAGACCCTGTGTCCTGACTATTGGTCCAGAAAACACCACAACCAACCAAGAGAGGTCACATGAAAGGCAATATCAGACAGAACACCACTGTAACAAGTTTCTGTGAGAGCCCACCACTGCCTAATCTCAAATTCAGATTCTTCACTTGTCATATTTTTAAATTACTCCTTACCCTAGTTGGGTTTGAGAGCTGGATTGAAGGGAGTACAATTCCTGTTGCTTTTCAATGTGAAAAAGAGGACAAGGATGGAAATGTGTTCGGCTGACATGTGCATACAAGTCACTCTGTATGTAATTTTGAAGCCTGCTTTTTTTTTCCACTTCACATTAGAGCATATGGATTTGTCCATGTTGTGAAGAATTGTGTTTGTAAACATTGACTTTACCAAATTCAAAGACAGTGTACCATTGGCAATGATGGGGGAAACCAGGTACCAAGAGGGATTTAGGGCAGTGGAATGTTTTGTCTCTGAAGTTTGGTGCTGGGTACTCAAGGATTCATTTGGTGACCCTTTATATTTTTTGCAAGTCTTAAATATTGTGTAATAAATTAAAAATGTAAATATTACATTTATGGTTTAATAAAATAATTCTAAAGAAAAAAAGTAAATATCAGTAGTAAATGGTTACTTAACATCTCATTATGTAGATACAGCATAGTTTACTCCGTTTAAAGCCGCTATTGTTAGATATTTGTGATGTTAAACTTTGGACTCTGAAATAATGAAATAATGTAGTGTTAAACATCTTTGGGTATCAAGCTTTGTCTGCATTTTAGCTCATTTTCTTGGGATAGACTGATAGAACTGAATTATTGGATCGAAGACTATGAATATGGTGAGTACGTATTGCCAAGCTGGATGAATTTAGACTGTTGTTGACATCAGATCCTTTCCACTTTGTCTTACCAGCAGAGTGCTGCTATTGTAATTTTTTTTAAATGTTTGCTATTTTACTAGGCAAATTTTTATTTGTAATGGTTTTAGTTCGTACTTCTTTGATTACCAGTGAGATTGAACATTCTGTTGTATAATAATTTTTTTTAATTGCTGTGTGTGTGTGTGAGCACAGGTTTTTGCAGACGCACTTGTATGTAGGGCCTGCGTGCGAGGGTCTTGTTTATGTGAAGGGGGCCACATATAAGCAAAGAAACAGTCCCTTGTCCCCGTTGATGAGAACCAACTGTGCATCCAGACCTTTGTCTCCCCACAGTGCCGCCAAGCTCCTGGACAAGAACCCGTTCTCGGTCAGTAACCCGAACCCTCTGCTTCCATCGCCTGCCAGTCTCCAACTGGCTCAACTGCAAGCCCAGCTCACCCTCCACCGGCTGAAGTTGGCACAGACAGCTGTCACCAACAACACTGCGGCCGCCACGGTCCTGAACCAAGTCCTCTCCAAAGTGGCCATGTCCCAGCCTCTGTTCAACCAGCTGAGGCATCCATCTGTCATCAGCACACCCCATGGCCATACTGGGGTGCCCCAGCATGCTGCCACCATGCCCAGTGCCCGGTTTCCCTCTAACACAATTGCCTTCTCACCCCCTGGCCAGACACGAGGCCCAGGACCCTCCATGAGCCTTCCCAGCCAGCCCCCCAGTGCCGTGGTGATGCATCCTTTCAGCGGGGTCATGCCACAGACCCCTACCCAACCAGCTGTCCTCTTGGGTATTGGCAAGTCTGGGCCCACCCCTGCTACCGCAGGATTCTACGAGTATGGTAAAGCCAACTCTGGCCAGGCATATGGCTCCGAAGCAGACGGTCAGCACAGCTTCCTACCAGCCTCTACCTCTGCCTCAGGCAATGTGAACTACGAAGGACACTATAGCCACACAGGGCAAGATGGCCCAACTGCCTTTCCTAAAGACTTCTACGGACCCAACCCCCAAGGATCGCATATGGCAGGTGGATTTCTGGTTGAGCAGGCCGGGGGCATGAAAGGCGAGGTAGGCCCACTGCTGCAGGGCACAAACAACCAGTGGGAGAGCCCCCATGGATTCTCTGGCCAAAGCAAGCCTGATCTTACAGCAGGCCCCAACCTGTGGCCTCCACCCCTCAGCCAGCCCTATGAGCTGTATGACCCCGAGGAGCCCACCCCAGACAGGACCCCCCCTTCCTTTGGGGGCCGGCTTACCAACAACAAACAGGGTTTTAGCAATGCCCGACGGCGGGCCAAGGAGGAGCAGGCGGTACTGTCCATGCGGCCCCTGCAGGCTCATGAGCTGAATGACTTTCACGGTGTGCCCCCCCTCCACCTGCCACACACCTGTAGCATCTGCGACAAGAAGGTGTTTGATTTGAAGGTGAGTTAGTTGTCCAAGACAAACTGGGAACCACAGTGAGAGCCTTGACAGGGTTGTTGCCATGACCCCATCTCTCTCTGCTCACGAGAGAAGAACTGTTACATTTGGGGATTGGCTAACAGCATTTTGCCATCTGTACCCTTGATTAAAACATAGGTATTAGAACCAAGGAGTCCTTGGGTGGTACAGTTAATGTACTTGGCTGCTAACCGAAAGGTGGATCAAGTCCACCCAGAGACACCTTAGAAGAAAGACCTGGTGATCTACTTCTGAAAAATTAGCCATTGAAAACCCTACAAAGTAGTTCTACTCTGACACACACGGGGTCGCCATGAGTCAGAGTCAACTCAACGGCAACTGGTTATTAGACTCTAAAGGAATTTCAGAACCTGCTCAGGGCCAGTCCCTTGCTTTAAGGCAAGTAAGAGATCAGTACCCACATTTTGTAGAGGAGAAAGCTGAGACCGAGTGTACCTTGAGGGCAGAGAGGAGCTCAACAACTCAGGCCTTCTGCCTCCTGGTTGAGGGCTTTTCCTCAGTGGTACGCTTAGAAGCTACTGTTCCTTGAGGACATACAGTGTACTAAGTCTGAAAGGGAAGAAGAAAAAGTTTGCAGAATTTCAGGTCAGGGTCAAGAGAGTAATTCTTAGATGGGACCCAAACAAGTTATTATATAGGGCCTCAGCTTCCCCATCTGCAAAATGGACATAGAGCCTCATGAGACCTTACCAACAGTTGTAAAATGCTTTGGGCCCCTGCAAACAAAGGTCCCTTAAGGTAAATTTTTTCCCAATAAACACAATGATGATGCAGTGAAATATTCCAAAGTAATAGTAATTATAACAAACCAAAAAAAACCAAAGCTGTTGCCGTTAAATCGATTCTGACTCAGGGAACCTATAGGACAGAGTAGACCTGCCCCATAGGGTTTCCAAGGAGTGGCTGGTAGATTCAAACTGTCGACCTTTCGTTTAGCAGCCAAGTGCTTAACCACTGCACCACCAGGGCTCCAATAGCTAAAGTATATTGAACTCTTTCTGTGTGTTAGCAATAACTCTGCAAGGTAAATACTACTATTATTCTCATTCTACAGATGAGGAAACCAAGACCCAGAGAGGTAGATGACTTGCCCAGGTCCCCCTAGATAGAAAGTGGCAGAGCGGAGATTCCAATGTGGGTCAGACCCCTCCCAGAGCTATCCCTCTAAAGCACTGGGCTGCTATCCCTCATCCCGTTTGGAGAACAGAATAAGTCCCTGCTTAGTGGAAGTCACACCACAGTGTGACATTAACCTTTGCTTGGGTCACATCAACTAAGCGCATTACTGTCACTAGGATAGGACACACCCTGTCACTCCAGTCTCGGGAGAGGACTGGCGGAAGTGAAGAGTTGCCTGAGGATTTTGTCTCTCATAAGCCTTTTCTAAGTCTTCACACTCATTGTAAGCCCACTTGCCAGATTCCTCTGCCTGGGTGGAGAAATGGGTGGGGTCTCTCTGGGGGAAAGGAGACAAAGTGGGGGGTGGGGTCGTGCAGATGGGACCAAGAGTCACTAAGAGAGGAGGAGGGGATTGACTTGTGAGTCTGCCTGAGATGGGCATGGTATGTGCTGACAAGGCCCAATGGAGCAGGGCTAGGAGCCTGCGTGGGAAGGAGGAGGGGAGTGAGACGTGTTGGGCAGGCAGGTGCTGGGCAGTACGTTCTTCCTGCCTGGCTGGCGACTCCTGCACTCGCCCCTTGCCTTCCCTGCGGTGCTCCTCCACCTTCCCGTGAACTCAGTTCTCTCTGTCATTTTTCTTCTGGCCTAGGACTGGGAGCTACATGTGAAAGGGAAACTGCACGCTCAGAAATGCCTGGTCTTCTCTGAAAAGTAAGTGCTGCCCTGAGAACAGGTTGATGTATACGCTCAACAAATACTCACTGAGCACCTGCTGGGGCTACACAGAACAATATAGGCAAAGTCCCTGACCTCAAAGAGTGTGATGCTTAATGGGGGAAAACAAATGAGAAACAAACCAGTAAATTCTATTGCATCCCTGGTTAGGAGAAAACAAGGTCCGGGCAGGGAGGCAGGAAGTGTGTCTGTATATGCATGGGGATGAGGGGAGGGAGCCTGTCCTTGCATTTTAAATAGGTCCTTCCACAGGAGCCTTGGTGGCACAGTGGTTAAGCGCTCGACTGCTAACCAAAAGGTCACAGTTCAAACCCACCAGCCACTCAGCAGGAGAAAGATGAGGCAGTCTGTTTCTGTAAAGATTACAGCCTTGGAAACCCTATGGGGCAGTTCTTCTCTTTCGAAATACATTCAGAATCCACAACCCAAAAGAAGCCAGGCATTCCTTAGCTGTTACCCTCCTGCACTCCCCCCATCATCATCCTCTCTAGCCCTTGGCAACTACTAACCTACTTTCTACGTCTGTAGATTTGTCTATTCTGGACTTTTCGTATAAATGGAATCATACAACATGTGGCATTCGTGACTGGTGTTTTCATCAGCGTGATGTTTTCCGCGTTCATTCGTGTTGTAGCACGTGTCAGTACTTCCTTCTTTTACATGTTGTGGTGGCGGCGGTTGTGTGTCCTTGAGTTGATTGTGACTCGTAGCAACCCTGTAGGACAGAGTAGAACTGCCCACAGGGTTTCCTAGGCTGTAATCTTTACAGGAACAGATCATCAGGTCTTTTCTCCCACCAAGTCACTGGTGGGTTCAAACCACCAACATTTTGGTTAGCAGCTGAGCACTTAACCATTGCACCACCAGGGCTCCTATTCCTTTACATGCCCTTTGCCATTGAGTCGATTAGGACTCATAGGTCCTTTTCTGCACAGGAGCCCTGGTGGTTCAGTGGTTAGAAGCTTGGCTGCTAACCAAAAGGTTGGCAGTTCGAATCTACCAGCTGCTCCTTGGAAACCGTATGGAGCAGTTTTGCTTTGTCCTATAGGGTCACTATGAGTCAGAATCGACTCGATGGCAATAGATTCGGTTTTTACTCCTTTATGTAGTTGAGTAATATTCCCTTATATGTATATACTGCGTTTTGTTTCTTCATTCATCCATTGGTAGATGCTTGGGTTGTTTCCACGTTTTAGCTATTGTGAATAGTGCTGCTATGAACGTTCGTGTGCAAGTTTTTGTTTGGACCCCTGTTTTCAGATGCCTAGGAGTGGCTCACAGGTAATTCTATGTTTAATTTATTGCGGACTCATCCCCTCTTCTCACCCCTCTCCAGCGCTGGCGTCCGGTGTGTACTTGGCTCGGCGGAGGGAACGCTGTGTGCCTCTCCCAACAGCACAGCCATTTACAGCCTCTCTGGGAACGAAGGTGAGTGGGGGCCTGCAGGTCAGCAGCTTGAAGCAGAAAGCAGCTTCCCCAAGGCTCGTTATCCAAAGTCCTAATAACCAGAACTTCCCTTCTTATATGTTTATAAAGCAAATAGATCCCAAGACACTAAAATGCCTTGGGCCTGCTGTCGGGGCCCAGTGACATTTTCTGTGATATTTTAGCCGTAAAGCTTTGCTGGCTATTAACATGCCCAGAGGTATAATCACACTGATCACTAATTGAGAAGAAACTTTCATTTTTCTCCCCCATGTGTCCTAATAATGTCTTTGAAGGTGAAGTAGATTCTAGGTTTTCACCTGACTTGTATAATTTGTCGTTTAGACTATGCCTCAAATCTTGGAGCATCGTATGCAGCCATTCCAGCAAGGTCATTTCCTTCAGCTTCCCCAGGGACGAATGTGAGTACAGAAGCATCTCCTCCTTTGTCATTGTCTTCATCAATGCATTTGTGCCACCTGCCAGGCCCGGCTGTTGTGTCGTTACTTGCAGAGATGGCTGGGATGAAGATGGCGCAGGTGTGGTTTTGTGCAGCTCAGGAAAACATGTCGCCAGGCAGAGGTTACTTAATTCAGTGTAGTTAGTATTGAAACACACAGATTAAAAAGCTGACGTAAATTCTTATAATGGAAAAAACTCAGACTTTCTAGTATTCGGCCCTGGTTTAGAAGGAAAAAATAAAAAAAGTGTGAGCTCTTGTGGCTTTTTCAAAAAAGACTTTCTAGTGTTTTATTGAAGTAGACCATTTCCCATGAGAGGGTAACTCTGAAACGTGAATCAGAAAGAAAACATGTTTAAAACCAAAGACCAGGTAGTAATAGTATTTGTTGGTCCCTTGGGGAAATGGTTGCTGCTGTATAAGATGTTTTTTTGTTTGTTTGCTTTCTTCTCTCTGTAACATGTGCTTTAGTCCCCCAAAGCTCTAAAAGCATCATCCCTCCCTTTTTCTCTTTGGGTTCAAGCATTGTCTCCTTCCCACTGCAGTTTCCTGTCTTCCGGCTGCAGTTTCCCGTCTTCCTGCTGCAGTTTCCCATCTTCCCGCTGCAGTTTCCAGTCTTCCCAATGCTTGTGGCCTCCTTCCCCCCAGGAGTCAGCTTGCTCCTTGTCTTCTCCCCAGGAGCACATGAAAGGGAGTGGGAGATGCAAAGCCGACTATAAAACAAAATGCATTTGGCCGAATCCTGCTAGAGGGCGTGTGTTTGTGTCTGTACTTTTAAAATCCATGCTGTGAACAGCGGCAGCCTCTTCTTCTCATGCCACGAGTGCAAGCTCATGGGAGCAGGCCTCCACATGCAGCCCCTCCACATGTGGGGAATTCGTGCAAGACCTCAAAAAAGCAAGATGTGAAGTACAAGTGTTAGAGCCTGGTGGGTGACTGAGTGGGGCGGTGAGGAGGTTCCTGATGAGATGTGAGGCCTCTTGGGCCTCTGTTTATATTTGCGTCTGTTTATTTGTGATGTTTCATGGGAGCAGTGCTATAAGAAAGAGCACCACTTGGGAGGCCCACATTTCTGTGGAAAAGAATTTGTCGTTTCCCTCTGTCCGTTCTCCCTGCATCGAGCCATGTCCTTGTCACTGGCAGCCTTGGGTCAGCAAGTGAAATGGCTGGGTTTAGCAAGCCCTGGTCGTTTTGTCTTTGAGCTCACACTGCTGATGACCTGGCCTTGTGCCCTGTTGGGAGCGCTGGCATCTCCAGCACCACCCCCACTCCAGGGCCTTCTCCCACAGTCTGTGGGCCATGGTGGCAACTCTGTGCCCACAGTCCTACTGAGACCCCCACCCCCGGCACTGAGAAGCCTATTGTGGATTGAGTTGTGTTCCCCAAAAATATGTGTCGACTTGACTAGGCCATGATTCCCAGTATTGTCTGATTATCCACCATTTTGTCATCTGATGTGATTTTCCTGTGTGTTGTAAATCCTACCTCTATGATGTTAATGAGGCAGGATTAGAGGCAGTTATGTTAATGAGGCAGGACTCAATCTACAAGATTAGGTTTTGTCT